CATACGTAGAGCATGCTCTTGCATATCGAATCAACTGAGAGATATGAACCCCGTATGCAGGTGATGAAGGTATATAGCTGCATAAGTAAGGGAAGTTGACGATTGAAAAGTTAAAGTCATCATGTTTATCATAAAGCTTGGTTGTTAGATTACCATTAACGTCTTTTACAAGTAAAATATCCAAATACGAAACAGATGTGTCAGACTCTGTAGTATCTTTTATCTCAAGCTCACCGGGATATATCGTATCGATATAAGAATGGAAAAAACAATTGTTAATTGACAATACGTCGTCGATATATCTAAATGTCGAGTTGAAGGCCACAGCAAGTGTTTTCTTCTTATCACGTATAAGATTTTGGACAAATTCTGCTTCATATGAATATTTAAAAAATGGTCTGCTAATAACGGGGCGCAATTGGTACCTATGGAAGTTCCAATAGATTGTTGGAAGACCTGGTCTCCAAAAACCACATAGATATTGTCAATCAGATACTCAAGCATCTTTTTAATGATAACTTCAGAGTACTTATGTGTACAATCAGAATGTTTTTTAACAAAATAATTTTGCAAATGACCAATGACAAGGTAAGTAAATTTATGAGTTCCATTTTTATTGAAAAAGCAGATGTCAATGATATCAAAAAGCCTGGGTTTTAATTTATCGTGGGGAATGGTTGTGTATAAAGTTGAAAAGTTGTAAGTTTTTAAGCTGTTGATTTGGTAAAATCTTGTGATTTCAAATTTTCCAAAAGTTCCTTGGAATTTTTTAGTATCCACATCTGATTTACACCACTTCTCGAATATATTGTTGCACAGTAATCTTGAAGTTTCCCCTTCACTACTATTAATATTATAGTGAAAAGTAAAGAAAGAGGCTTGGTTGAACATTTACTGGAACCCGCTATGTATCTTTGTTTGTAGGGATTTTTATGTAGTTTCGGAATCCAATATAGATATGGTAATTCAAACTCATTTTGGTTGTTTGGAATATTAAAAAATAAAAAACTGATTTTGAAGAATTTCTTCCTTAGAAAGATAACTATGAAACTCTTGTAGGCATTGTAAGAACCAAGACGTTATCACTTTCCTTTATTTGATGGTCAAATCTGGAAGTTGACATGGAACAAATGTTCCATTCATGCCCTGAACACCAAAGCCAGATAACCAAACCACGTGCAGTTGCAGTTCATCCGTGGGATTACAATAGTTCACCACAGAAGAGAATTCATATTGAGTATGCTGGGCCATTCCAGAAAAAATGTTTCCGGATGTAGTTGACAGTTATAGTAAATGGCCGGAATTTATGCTGATGACTTCGATAACAGCATCAAGCACAATGAACAGCAAGATTTGGTGTACCAAAGAACGTTGTGTCTGAAAATGTCCTCAATTAATTTCGGATGAATAGTTTTATCAAAATGAATTGGATCAAACACACAAAATAATCTCCCTAACTTCAAAGACCATCGAATTAGCGAACGATTCGTTCAAAGTTTCAAACACGTTTTGAAAAAAGATAGCAAAGCAGTTCTATTGAACATACATTTGAACCGATTTCTGTGTACTTATGGCAGAATTATACAAACACTGTTGGACCTTATTAAGCCAAGCATTCAGGATACTGTGTGCAACAGTAGAATAAACGCAGGGCACATAGTAAACAGACAGGAAGGGAAGTGAAGAAATTCTGTCCAGGATGTGATGATTCGTGATTACAGAGGAAAGGTTCCTTGGATACATTCTACAGTGGTTGGACCTTATTAAGCCAAGCGTTCAGGATACTGTGCAACAATAAAATCAACGCATAGCACGTAGTTAAGACACAGGAATTGAAGTGAAGAAATATTACGTATTAAGTTTGTTACTGGCTGTCCATAGAAATATGACTGGTTGTTCAAGTCCATGGAAGACGAGGCTTCGCCTCGTCTTTCTTGGACTTGAACAACCTGGTATATTTCTGTGGACAGTCAATAACAAACCTAACAAGTGTTTGTTAACAAGCGTTTTGTTTTGTCGTCGAAGTTCTTTGAATACAGTATACAGTTGTGGGAAAACTAGGACCACTCACATACCAAGTTAAGACCAGTGAAGGTGGAATTTGGCGGAGATATGTAGATCAAATGCGGAGAACACCACCTAACATCGAGCAGAATAAATCATCTTCGATAATCTTAGGGAAAATGTAGAGGGTGTAGAGGAGTTAAGTTCAGTTTAGTCATTCCAGCAGTGTTAGGTTGAAATCTACAGAATCAATTCCTAAGTCAGTTCCAAGGAAGCGAACTACTCCCTCCAGTGGCTCTCCGCAAGATAGCTCGCCCGATTCGCAAGAAGTGACAAGACGCTATCTTAAGCGAGAAATATGCACCTCGTAGGTTGATTAGTGAGTCATAGTGCCAAACTGTGTATTTGGGCATAATAATCCCCGTGTATCTACTAAGAATCTTTGGATTCTTATGATTGTATGTTACATGTATTGTTTGCTTTTACGTTCTTTAATTGATCAAAAACATTCTATGGACACGTTAATTCACAATTCTGCAAAATTGCAAATTTAGGGGGGAGAAAATATGTATTAGGAATAGGAAATCTGCCTATTTGGGATTTTGTTCATTAGAGTATGTTTATGCGCATGAAAATTAAAAGTAGTTCCAGTAATTGCGTTTATGTAGAAACACGTGTTGTTCTTCTTGTTTACGTGATAACAGTCAATGATCAAATTTTTAGAAGAGACTTCCTGGGATTGCTTTTATTCGTATTTGGTATTTTATCCATTGCATGTTTTCCAATTATTTGAAATAATATACGAGTTCTAACAAACATAACATTTGCAAAATGATAATGAAAAAAAAAATTGAGAAACTTAAATTTTAGGATAACATCGTTAGAAAAAAATGATTTTAAAAAATCAGTACACATTTTCTCTGCATTACCATTAATCTATATTTGACGTTGCATATTTTTAACAAATATATTAAAATATTAATTTTTGAATTTGTTACTTTATTATATTGTTATTTTGTCAATTTAGAGCAATTTTTGATTTAAGATATCGTACTTTATAGCAATCCGTTTCTGTCAACTAAAACTCTGAGTAAACGTCATACTTAAGGATACAGGTCCCTGAAATTAGTCCTTTTACACGATAGGTTCTATCAGGAAAATCAATTAAAGTACGACCGTTGAAGCAGTTAAGCCGGAGTGAAAAACGAAAACGTAATGATTAGGAAGATTTTTACAGATGAAGGAATTGTCACTTTCTGCGTTTTGGAAGATCTTATGTACCATACGTTATCATTTACACTTCTTTGATACTTTCTTTGATGAAAACAATAAAAGAATGGGAATCGAAAGTCGTCCGAATGCTGTTTGAAACAAGCATTCTGAGATTATTTCCTAAGCAATAATTAAGAGTTCGACAGTACGAGTACCGGCAAGTGTAATGTGGTTCCCTTAAAGGGTTTTTATCACGTCTCAAAATTTTTTGATATGACAAAGTTTACATGCTATTAAAATCATACATTTAAAATCTTTGCTAGAAAATTAATATTGTTGATGTTTCAGCGATTCAAAGTTTGAATTTCTCAATATGCATATTTTGATCGCCGATGTTACGCGCCATTGCTCTGACGTCATAGGTGTCAATCCTGGTCAAGCGAAGTACTTATTGTGTATACAAAGGGCTCATTTGTTGTGTCTATTAAACCTGTTAGAAAATAATTAAGAGGTAATTGGATAATTGACAGCTAGTAAGGTATAATTTTTGGCTTTAGGATGCACAAATGTGCACAAGAAAGGTTTTAGGAAGATTTTTTTCCACATTTCCTGGACTTGGTCGAGAGATGTTCTGCAAATGCGATGGCGTTTATCTCCATTCAGAACAATCGTTTATGCCCGTTCGATCACGATTTTTTTTCTGTCCTATAAAATATTTTAAGGAAAGATACCTTTTTAAAAAAATAATAAATGACAAACACGCATTTTTTTTAAAAGTCGCACAGAATCTAGTCGGAATGTTGTGAACTTCGTAATGGCGTACGGCGCCATTGAAGAAGTGTCATTTCTCGTACATGATATTCACTGCTGGAACAGATAGAAGATATACAGGATTTTTTTTTATATGATTAATTAAAATAATATTGAAGGAGAATTTAAAATTTCCATATTTATAAATATTTACGAAGTTAAACTTTAGTAATTCGTTCTATGTATTCGAAGTCCCGAATGGTCAACGGCTTCGTCTTCGGTGACCTCTCCAATTGTCAGCATATTTTCTGATTATTTCTCTCTACTACACGTTCATACATAAAAGATTGACCGTCCATAACCAAAGGAATATAGCCGATGTCAAAATTTCAATCGGCCATACTGTGTAGTCTATTTATTTAGCGTAAAAATCTATTCAATATATTTTTTTCTTACGATAAGCTTTACGAGTTCTATTGACCATTGACACCTATGACGTTTCAGTACCACGTGACCCCTATCTAATTAGTGGAGATTTTACTTAGAGGACCCTTTATTACGGGCGTTTAATCGTCTAATTACGGCCGTTTTCAACATTATTTCAGAATTAAACGATAATTATATGTTTCAAGAAAACTATAGTGTTTCATTTTTAAGAAATTTAGATACGTGATAAAAACCCTTTAAGATTAAAAAAAAAAGGTCCTAATTCCAATAAAAATCATTGAAGCTGAGCGAAATGCAAACTTGATCTGTAACTCATCAAGGTACACTCAAATACCAAATTTCAGTTCAGTATCCATAAGTTTTAAGGAAAATAGCGCGGGAATTTTGCACAAATGTCTGGTTATATACTTCAATTTTTCATGAGGAATTTTCTTTAAGTATCAATACATGTACTTCAATTGCAAATTCTTGGGGAAATTTTTGTTATTGAGGAACGTGTCGTCTGATCTTAAACCCCAGTAGACAAAACTCGTATTGAAAACTATTATAACCCTTCTTTGAAAACTTCTATAAATGCTAAAACTCACCCTTGAATCGAACACGCTACTGTAGTCAATACCGCTGTGTTTTCCGGCAAGGAAAGCTGCCAAGTTGGCCGTATAGCTAGCAATGATGAAAATACAGGCAGAAGCCCAAAAATTTTGGAGTACTTTGCTAGGCCACGATTTCGGGGACTTGGTACTGACTGTATGCCCAAACAACAAGGAGTAAACCATCGTCATTCCCGATCCTAATGTGTAGTTCTGTTTTCGCTTCCTTCCCCAAGGATTCAGACCAAAAGGACTATTCCATTCAAACACCGACATACCCACAGCCGATATAGTGGCACTGATAAAGATCGTACACCAAACTTCGACTGAGAATGGTTCGATGAATGCATACATGTATGTCTTTTGATTCTGTTGTATGTACAAGACCGTGAAACGTGAAAAATAGTATGGATAGGAGAAATCAATGGCGCTCATCCTATTTCCGGTTATACTAAATGCCGCTATGGCCATGTCGGCAATGCCATTAGTCAGGTCCCGCACCATTCCGTCCCAGGACCCATTGATCATCTTTTTTCCGTAAGTTGTATCATGTACAATATACAATACAAACTCAAATTCTAGGTCGGAGGAAAGTTTGTTTAACAGATCTATTGCAAATCCGCGGCAACACTGCAGTTCATAGCCAGTTGTGTCGTTGTTATTTTCGTAATTCTGGATAATATCCAAGGTCTGATTTTGATCAGCAACCAAAATTTTGATACAGCGCGTGCTTTGAATACATATATGTGTATCTTCAATTCCATCGTCCACCATTATAAAAGGTTTTACAGGATTTGTCACCACGCGATATCGAACACGGCCATTTTTTAGATCAATGGTATGTTGCAAAGGCCAAAGGATTCCTCGAGGACGGACATTCTCCCCCTGAACGTATCCAATTTCCTGCCACACGTAATTATTTTTGTAGTTTTTAAGTGTCTTTATTTTAAAGTCTTGATTCGAAAGGTAACCGTCGGGAGTGAAATCGAATAGAACAGAAAACCCTTGGTACGTATTGGTCTTGAAGTGCCTGCAAGTCAAATTGTGATTGATTTGAGAATGAATATGCCATTTTATAGTATCATAGCCAAATTCATGAATTTGCTTTTATTATTTTAAATTGATCTTTTCTTTTGACTTCATCAACTAATCTTCATGACAAAAATTAATTAAAAAAATTATAACTAAATAGTAAGTTAATGTTCTCTGCTTTGTTTTTTCGTGAAACTACAGCGCCTTGTGGTATTAATGTGCAATATAATTCACTGGTCTCCTAAGATCTCGGTTAGCCGTAGTCTTCCCCCTGGGATTTGATCCTATCGCTGATTTCTCAAATAATAAACGATTCATCGAGGTAAATGTTTATTTTGTTTGAACGCAGGATCATTTTAAACTCGATCATTTGACGCTTGAATGCGTCTCACATTACAATGGATATTACACCGAAAAATTACCTATAAAAACTCTCTCCAATCGTCAGGTCAAGAGGATATTCGTCAAAACATGTTTTCTGAAAACCATTGGGCAAAACACCATCACGAAGTGCGCTTTGAATGACAAAATTCAAATACGACACACTGTCTGATATTACGTCATCCAATGACACCATATAATCTGTTACTACAGCAAGAGTACCAGCAGGGTAAAACTTTAGCAAGGACGTATCCTGAGTATAAACTTTTTCTGTCAGAAACCATTTTATTATGTTTGATTGGTTTGAATTTTTACACGGAAGTGATGTAAAAATTAATATTGCCATCATGGGGTCCACGTGGAGAAGAACTATCATGTCTTCCGTCAGAAGTCTGCATATCTGCCTTCGTAGTTCCTCAGGAGTGACCTTTCTGCTAACGACAAGTGATGATACGTGCCACAGCTCTGTCTGGTTTTGTGATATTACTTTGCCGAAAAATCCGTCATTCAGTGATTGATCTTCTATAATTATCAGAAACCTATACCAAAAATTCTCCCGGAAGAAAGTTAGCACCGCTCTAGCTGTCTCCTGGTGCGAATTACCGAGAATCAATAAGAGATCGTCTAGTGTCTACAAAAAAATTACGATTATTAGAAAATTTGAACTAACTATAAACCATCAAAAAACGTTTAAAAGTTTGACATGGCAATTATGGCAAATGAATCATTTACACCTAATAAACATGAAAGTTAAGATAAATTCCTGAGAGAAAATCATAAAAAAAAATGAAAATTTTAATGCGAATTCTGAAAGATTGTTTTAGCAGCAGATTCTTGTGGTGTTGACACCTTGACTACACGATGGAGAAAACAATAATAATTGTGTTGGAATTTGTAAATTACCTCAGTAAGTTCTATTAAAATTTTATATTTAATGTGTTCGTTATGGACTTTTTCTTTTTACCGTCAATAGGTGATGGAGTCTGAATTAATCCATGATTTGATAATAATTGGATGAAAATCTCAGGGGTAGTTTATGTGCGTAGAAGTCCTTAGATTTTGTCTTTTATCAAGGATAAGCCGTGTGAATTTTTAATGAAAAAATCCTGTTTGAACCAACAACTTCCTCAAATCGATTTATGTAATATCAAAAAACAAGAGACTCTTGGTGGGCCACATCGCTCACCTGAGCACTCACCTGGCTAGAGAAAAACAGAAAGCAGTACAGTCTTGAAAAGCTGAAATGTATAAGTGGTGCCACTACCCACCCTACCCCCTCCTCCCGGCAGGGGAAGGGGCCATTGTTTGATTAAACTGGAATCTACATTAACTGAGGATGCTTCAATATTTATATGGCTATTCATGGCATTAAGCATTTTTACAGATTTTCACTTATATATTCCTATGTAAAACTTTGATCGCCCATTGTGGCCCGACCCTAGTCATGACGAGGGGTGAAAATTTTCAATGCTACCCTTAACTTCATGCAGTATTTATTACATTATACTGAATGTTTTATACAAAGAAAGGTGAAGCGCGTGCATAGATTCCGCGCAGTCACTTTTTTTTTTGGAATATCACCCGTTGTCAAGCAATGTTGACTATTGCTATGTTCTATCGCGCTGGAGGGCGTGGTTTCATCATTCAGAGGGTAATACTATTTTTTAACAACTGTTTCTCGACGAATCAAATTAAATAATTTACATTAAAGTATAATATAAAAATATGACTAATCATGGCTTTGCTGTTCTTGAGAAGATTTTTTAAAAAAAAATTCCTACACCTTCCTACGTATAACTTTGATCCCCTGTTGTGGCCCCACTCTACCCCCAGGGGTCATGATTCAAACAAAATTGAATCTACACTACCTGGTGCTTCTGTATTAATATGACTAACCATGGTTTTGCTGGTCTGCGTCATTTTTTAAAGATGATCCCCTGTTGTGGCCCCGCCCTACTCCTCGGGGTCATGATTTGAACAAAATTGAATCTACACTATTTAATGAAACTTTCACATAAGTTTCAATTTTTCCCGCCTAGCGTTTCTTGAGAAGAAGATTTTTAAAAGGTGCCATAACATTTACACTAATTCTTAATTATCTCTCCTTGAAAGAGGACGCGGCACTTCAGGTGAACAAACTTGAATTAATTTCACCAAAGGATGCTTTATGGAAAGTTTGGTTGAAATTTACCCTGTGGTTCTGGAGAAGAAAATGAAATTGTGAAAAGTTTACGACGACGCCGACGACCACACGGACGCCAACAACAGACAACGGACAAACTTTGATCAGAAAATCTTACTTGAGCCTTTGGCTCAGGTGCTCAGGTGAGCAAAAAAGAGTAATTGGATAGAGAACCAACGAAAAGTACACTTTCTATACCTTTAATCCCTCAGCAAAGCTAAAGTACTTGCTCATGAAATTATCTCTCATAGTGATTAATATTAAAACTGTAGCTTGAAAGTTAAAGCTTCATTTCATGCTTCGTAATATAATCTATTATCAATAATTGATATTTTTAACCGTGTTAAATAAGTTCTTATTTACTCCAAATAGAGAGAAAAAGGATTTTTGGGATAACTTTTCCTTTAAACTATTCAAATATATATTGGCATAAATCAATCTGCATATAAGTGACTTTTAATATACTACAGAAAAACTACATGCTAGTTTGAAAATTATTTGAGATTTTGTAAAGACCTGATTCAATTAAAATAATCTATGACAAAAATAGCATGGGTTTAAACAGTTTTCTAGGATGAATTTGGAGACATTTCCATGAGCAATTCGACGGATGACAACCTAATCACGTGATCAGACCAAGGGAGAGTTTATTTTGTTTTCACCATGGCTCTAAGTGGCCCAGTAGTCTTGGCGAGGATGGAGGTTTACTATAAGACTGCTAGAAGTATTGAAAGCATCGATCTTTTTGGACTTCGTCTATCAATTATACGGAGATTTCGTCGTCGTTAAGGGCAGCTACTGTTCTTTGAAATGGGAAAAAACGAGAATCCAAGTAGACAAAAAGATGCATAGCTATTTGGAACAAAATAAAGAGCAATTAAATCAGGAACGAGGAAAAACAATCTAGTTTAGACAGACTCTTATCATTAAATCCAGCCCAGAAACGATTCGTGGACCAAGATGAACAATGTTAACGATATAGAATGTTTAATTTCAGATTTGATTATTCCATTAAATACTAAAAACTACCATCAGAATTTCCTATTAGAACAAAATGTCTTAAGGTTCTGTTCTTACATGAGCAATATCTTTAGGATAACAATATTCCCAGAAACAAATCACATGTACTAAAAATAAGGGTAAGAATACTGCTTTAGAGCAAAGGCACCTGACGCATAGATCGGGGGGGAGGGGGGGGGGGTTACACGTCAGGTGCCTGTGCTTTAGAGTAGTCGTGTGTATATACAAGAATAAGAGAATTATCGGAACGTAAACTATTAATTGTAGGAATTTTATATCATAGATTAACTGTAGGTGCATTCATTTGCTATATCTTTAGATATATCTGATATATTTTTAAATAACTTATTGCTTTTATTTCTGGTTATATTTACTCATTATTTTTCGGCCATTTCATCAATAATATTAAGTTTATCAATAATTTTTAGATCTTTTTTTTATTTCTGGAGGTTAAAATTGTCAATTTACAGACATTGTCCTGGGGTCAGTTATTTCATATCTATTTAATATGTATTTTATGTAATAAGAAACATATGCCACACATTAAGTCATATCTTCACCATGTTGCAGTACTTTAGACAGTATTGACATGTTTTTGTTAATGAAAAGGCGGTCGACGATGAAAGTCAAAGATGTCTAGCAAAACATATGCAATAAATTCCGATTCAAGTAAGTCATGGATCAGTATCAAGTAAGTCATACGTCAGTATCAAGTAAGTCATATATCAGTATCAAGAAAGTCATACATCAGTATCAAATTAGTCATACATCAGTATCAAGTATGTCATACATCAGTATCAAGTAAGTCATACGTCAGCATCAAGAAAGTCATACATCAGTATCAAGTAAATAATACATGTATCAGGTAATTCATACATCAGTATCAAGTAAGTCATACGTCAGCATCAAGTTAATCATACATCAGTATCAAATAAGTCATACATCAGTATCAACTAAATCATACATCAGTATCAACTAAATCATACATCAGTATCAACTAAATCATGCATCAGTACTTAATCACAAAGGACACAAAAGATAAATTATTAGTACTTAATACTGTAAATCACAAAAGTGCCATCTTTCAAATATGGAGATAACGAACAGTATTCAAGCTCAAAGTCCTTTTAAACAATACAAATCGGGAGCAGAGCAAACACGGACCTCTAAAAACATCAGAGGTGGAATCAGGTGTCATGGAGGAGTGAGCATCCCCTGCCGACCGGTCACACCTGCCATGTGCTCCTTGTCATGATCGGGAAAACGGAAAAATCCGTCGACAATTCAGTGTGTACCTAATGGCCTAACAGTTAGTATGAAAAACAAAATGTCAGTCAACATTTGACTTAATGATAGGTTGTATTTGCTGACAAGATCATTGTATCGACCATAAAACTTGCAAAATGATGACTTCAAACGAGACTGTTGATATCCTTGTTTCGTCAACTTGTTTGCCAATAGCTTGTCTTGTTTTAGAAATTGTTCATACGAAAAGCATGCTCTTGCGTATCGAATCAACTGGGAGATAAAAATTCCATATGCAGGTGATAAGGGTATATTGCTACATAAGTAAGGGAAGTTGACGATTGAAAAACTGAAGTCATCACGTTTATTATAAAGCTTTTTTGTTAGGTTACCATTAAAGTTATTTTCTAGTAAAATATCCAAATATAAAACAGATGTGTCAGACTCTGTGGTATCTTTTATTTCAAGCTCACTGTAATACATGTATATCGAGTCGACATATGAATGGAAGTAACCATTGTTACTATACTTCTTAATACGTCGTCGATATATCTAAATGTCGAGTTGAAGGCCACAGCAAGTGTTTTCTTCTTCTCATGTAGAAGTTTTTGAATAAATTCTGCTTCATAGGAATACAAAAATAGGCCTGCTAACATATTAATTTTTTTAAATGGCAATTTTGACTTTGAAACAGATAAGTGAAAAGAAATGATCAAATTGTCAGTTATTTTCCTCTAAGGCATGAGTCAAAGATGAGTATTGTAAAGGAGGGGGCACCTTGTCTACGATGAAGTGTGCAGGCAATGACGTAAGGGTCCTTTCATAAAAAAAAATTCCTGAAATGGTGAGGAGGAAAGATTGACTATCGTAATATATAGTGCACAAAAAAATACACTAGCCCAGTGTCAAAGTGAATAATAACCTCCATAATAAACAAGTCTGTCGTGTACGATATATCTGATCTTCATCACCTCAGACGCCCGTTACACTCAATTTGTTGCGTGTTATCATTCCGCGAATCAGCTTCTTGTGAACGTTTTCCCTTGCCTTTGGACTCTTTATATGGCAATGACTAATGGAGACATTGATCAGGCTTAACGTATACATTTACGACTCATGATTGTACCTCTAATAGACATATTAATTATAATATAGTTCGAATGATCTGTGCTAATTTACCATCT